GTTCATGGACTGTCTAGCTGTCTTCTCAGCAGTGGAGAGGTTGTGATGAATGTGATGTTTTTAAGGATTTCACAGTCACAATTTTTTGGTAGGTCTAATACAAGGTATTACCTCACCCATCTTGTCTCTCTAATAGACTGGACCAACACCGCTACAACAACAATGCCATATTTCTTGTATTTTGTAACAAACTCTAGGTGTCCCTTGACTGTCACTTGCAGTCTGTTCAGTTGTCCATCTGAGTGACAGTTCTCTATCCAGTTCAGTTAGAGTTTTCAGGTAAGATTTCATGTTGTACATTATCAAATATTGTACTGTAATTCATGAATTACAGCTGTTACATTTCTTTCATCAACTGATGTAACTTGAAAAAAACCAACCTTCCGCCTTGTCTGCAATGACTAGTTCTTTATAAGCCCATAAATACATATCCCCGTTTTATTAGCCCCTCAATAACTACTTGTATTGGTTCTGATTGATGATATAGTTTTCCTATTGTCATGGTAAGTACCAGCACTGCTGCTTCTCTTTTTTTCTAAGATGGCTACCATGCTTGTATGCATGTGCACATGTGAGCTTGCTCTCCACAGTTAAGCTAGAAATGCCTGTGACTTATTAATTGAATCAACTGGTACAAAGTGTTCAGCTTTTCACTTTATTACTTTTTATCAATAGCTGTTTTACTGAGCTACATTAATATTACTGTCTATTTCTCATAACTCTCAATTTCAGTGAGATGGGCTTTAAAAATAGCTCAGCCATTTTAGAATTCTCACAGTGCCCTTCTTCATATTATTAAATTTACTTCCTTTCATGTTTGGTTCCCCCTTTTGTATTTCTAACAACTGGACTTTGACTATATCCTCATTCTACCTTTTTTGGTCTGCATTCCTTTAGTTTCCTCTGACCACTGCAAACCTTAACTCAGTTCTTGTATGCTGATTTGGTACTCACTTCAAAGGAAGCTTGTGCAGACTCTGGTGTTTTCTCCTGTTCCAGTGGAGGTGTATAGAGCCCTGTAAATCTGTGCACATCTGCTTTGTCTGTGGACCATGTTTGAGGATAGTGGATTGGATGCAGATACACATTTTGTATCTGTGCAGGGCTCTAGCAAAGCATTCATTTTGCTTCATCCTCTTGAAGGCTTTGTTAGTGAGGGGACAGGAGAGAAAGCTGCATCTCTAGAGGTCTGGATACAATAGGTTTTAATCTGTGTTTTATTTAATAATCTTCTGTCATGTATATCTTATAGGACATATTTGCAGCCTTTTTGAACTATGCATACTTGAGGGCTTGTCTGTATTTACAACGTGGCAGCTGCACCCTTTTAGTGAAGAGCCTGCCTATGCCAATGGGAAAGCTTCTCCAGTCAGTGTAGGTACTCCACCTCTCTGAATGATGGCCACCTATGTCAGCAGGAGAAGCCCTCCTGTCAGCATAGTGTTGTCTGCACTCTGGAGAGGTCAGTGTAACTGTTGCTTGGATTTTTCACACCCCTGAGTGATGTCACACCGACATAAATTGGTATTATAGACTGAGTCTCAATGGCAGCTGTCCTAGGCTTTACTGGTTCTGGAGAGGGATAAGCTCTTCCTGTTTTTCCTGGAGATGAAGTAGCTTCTTACAGGAAAGACTGTGGCTATATATCCCCTTTATCACCATCCATGGCTATGAAAAACAGCTTCTTCAGCAGAGAGCTTTCGAGTAAACTTTTTATAACCTTTTCTCTTCAGGTGAGATTTGTGTTTCCTGGTTAGTGAGCTAATCCAACTCTTTGCTGTCAGATTAGCACTGCTATAAAGCATCGTAAATGGGAGTAGCACTTGTGGTAAATGTATAGACACACCTTCAGAAATGCTTCCCTATCCTGAAGGGCATGCCATCTAAATTAATACCAATGCTGCTGTGGGTGGAAGTAATAGTCGAGGGGAATGAAGTGATGACAGAATAACCAGACTAACACTGTGGATTTGCTTGACAGGTACAAGTCAAGGTCATCCCAAGTTTTAGAATATTGGTTTGGGTGTCTGGCACTCAGGTGCTATAGAGAGAGCTATGAACAAAGCAGTTAGAAATTAGTAAGCACAAAATTGGTTGCTCACTGGACAGGGATTTGTAGCATCCGTTGGCTATCTGAGCTGCTTTGTGTTTAACAATTGTAAGTAAACAGTTTGCTAATTGCAGTAATGACTCATTTGGCCTTTCTGTTCCTCTTTTGTGTTTACAAAAGATTTCAGATTAATTTTAGTGGTGGCATTAGTATTTTATAACAAACATGTTCAGTGACCAGTAATATTTACCCAGAATAAATCTTGACATACAAGATTTCAGACTGGGCACAAATTAGCTTTTAGCCAAATTTTGCTGTACGTGTCTGGTCCAGTGGTTTCACCTGCTTTAGTAGCAATATTTTGTATGGAATGTTAAGGTTTCCTGAAGTTCTGTTAGTGTTTCCGAATTCTTTTCAATTGTGGTTTTGGGTCTGTTCTAAAGATCATTCAATGTATAATGTGTACAGGCAGTCCCCGACTTACGCGGATCCGACTTACGTCGGATCCGCACTTACGAACGGAGCTTTCTCGCCCCAGAAGTCGGGGCGAGAAAGCCCCGTTCGTAAGCTGCTCCGGTGCCCCTGGTCTGCTGGAGACCATCTCCAGCAGACCAGGGGCACCGGGCGGGTTCCCGCGCTTCTGAGGCTTTGCCAGAGCAAAGCCTCAGAGGCGTGGCACCCCGCTGCCGCTGCGGCTTTGCTCCCCATGTCCCTGGTCTTCTGGGGGGGAGGGGCGCAGCTAGTGCGCCGCCCCCCCCCAGCCGACCAG